AAGAGCGGTGAGTGCTGGTGGTTGCGCCCGGATGGTAAGACGCAGGTGACGATTGAGTATATGCAGCATCCCGATGGTAGTGTGGAGCCCAAGAAGATCCACACCGTGGTGATCTCCACCCAGCACGCGGAGCCCTCCAAGGCCAAGCGCACCCAGGAATGTGCTGGATACACTGGTGCGGAGATGGTGGCCCCAAGCATGGAGCAGATGAACAAAGAGATTGAGGAGAAGGTAATCAAGAGGACGCTTCAGTCGATCAAGCTGAAGAGCGGCCAGCCGGCCATCAGCTTGTATGGCAGCCACACGCACCTTCACATCAACCCTTCCGGCAAGTTCATCATCGGCGGGCCCCAGGGCGATGCAGGCTTGACTGGTCGTAAGATCATCATTGACACGTACGGAGGCTGGGGAGCCCATGGCGGTGGTGCCTTCTCTGGCAAGGACCCCACCAAGGTAGACCGATCAGCTGCCTACATCTGTCGCCAGATGGCCAAGTCCGTGGTAAACAGCGGCTTGAGCGCCCGCTGCTTGGTGCAGCTGTCCTATGCCATTGGCGTGGCAAAGCCTTTGTCCCTATTCGTGGAGACCTACGGCAGCGAGAAGGGCAGCCTTAGCGTTGATGATATCACCAAGGTCCTGAAGATGGAATTCGACTGCCGCCCTGGTGCAATCGCTCAGTCCTTGGCTCTGCGTGAGCCCAAGTACCAGGAGACGGCGGCTTACTGCCACTTCGGCCGCGAGCCCTGCACGAAGGGAGGCATCAAATTCTTTGAGTGGGAGAACCCCAAGGACCTGTCGAAGTACAAGGCCATGAGCACCGATCAGGTGGATGCTGCACTGAAGGGCAGCACCTACCTGACAAAGTGGGTGGACTAAGTGTGCAGGCAACCCAGAAACTGGGATTGCCCTTCTCTTGACTGCCTGTGATGCCTCAGATCCGCCGGCCCCAGGTCGGTGCGTTGGGCAGAGCCAGCTGTTCAGCTCCTGCAGATATGCAGACAAATCCTTGTATCCAGCTTAGAGGCTTATTAGCCTTGCGCATGATGACGGGAAAGAATTAAGCGAAGACCGTTTAGACTCTTGATATAGGACAGGACAGGGGCGTCACATGCACATTCTGTGTCCTAGCTTGGTAGGTGGACTGAGACACGTAGGTTGCAACTGACGTGTGGCTTATTTCCTGTTTATTCTTGTTTAGCTGTAGATATGCTGTTCTGAGCAGTTCTGGCTTTGCCTGATAGTGTCTGATGTGGTGGTCTGTGTTGTCATAAGTTCTGACATGCATCGCCAGTTTCGGTGTCTTTGTAGTTTTGTTGCTTTACATGTCACAGTAGCACAGATATAGGTGAACCTGTAGAGCGAGGTGCAAGTCGGAACCCTATCGACTGAAGACAATAACATGCTTTACCTCTGGGCAGAGGACGGCTGAAATTGACTTGGTGTTCCCTCGGCCATGACCCAGGAGCCGGAATCCTAGATATGCACGCCTTATCCTGCTTAAGTTTAGCCGCTTAGCCTTTCTTCTGACTTGAATCACCTTCGGGCACAGCCTGTCACGCTAGACCCTGGGAGCCCCATCAAAACCCCTGCAGCCCGCAAGACAACCCAATCCGCAGGCGATTTCGGCCGCACGCCGGGCGCTTCGCCGCATAAAAGGCCTGGGTGCGGAGCCGCAGTTCCAGGAGGCCAGTGCAGAAGTGGTGACTACAAGGGTTACTCTGAGGGTTACTGTTTGGGATGCTACCAGTACAGGCGACACTTTAAGAGTTGCTAAGGAATGCTGTCAGGCTTGGTAGTTTGGGTTTGAGGGTTACTGCTTGGGTTAGGGGTTTAGAGGTTTGTAGTTTATGTTTTGGCTTTGGCTTTGTTGGTGGAGGGATTTGAGAGATTTGTGCTGCTTCGTCCAGTTTCGTAAAGTTCGGACTGATTACTAACCGTATGGATTGCAGTTGCTATTGTTGTTGTTGCTGCTGTGGTGAATGAAAGACAACGTCCAATGAGGGGGACAACGCTTGGTGTTCACCACCCTATCTACTTTGTCATTGTAACTTTTCCCTTTGATTCAGTCAATATGTTCTACCGAAAGCAGGCAGGTGTCAAGCGTGTGCCAAGTCAAGAAACCCCTAACCCCAACAGTTCCTGAAGCACAAGTCCTGCAAGCCCAAAACCCCCAACGCCTCAACGCCTCAAGCCCTAAACCCTAAACTCGCCCAGTGTTCTTTCTTTAATTAGTTGGAAAACCCGCCTCCGCAGCTGCGCCGCAGGCTTCAAAACCGGCGACCCAGACAACCGGACACCCAAGCCCTTACATACCAACCCTGCTCTAGAAACCCTTTCCAGGAACCTTTTAAAGCAACTCCCTCAGCCCCCGATCCTTGTGAAGAGGTCTCCGATGCGCTGCCAGAGGCACTGAGGCGAAAAGCCAGC